ACACACACACACACACACACACACACACACACACACACACACACACACATGCAGATGCAGTGGACACCCTCACACGCCTTCGCACACTCGAAGTCAGTTTATAAATAATGCAGGCATTTATCTCACCCAATTCCACTCGACTCGAACTCGAACGCTGGCCAACACAACTAAACTGAAAAGAAGAGCTGGCCACATTGCATATCGTAGCCCTTGATGTTGCTGTTGTTGTTGTTGCTGTTGCTGTTACTGTTGTTGCATAAAATTTGCATAACTACAGTTTATTCTAACAATTTGAATGAATATTTAATTAGTTTTAATTGAATATGGTAAACATTTCTTAGCCATTCTCACATGCAAATTGAGAGAAAGCTCATTAAAATTAAAATGCAGCTCACCAAAAAAGGAAAAAAAAAAGAAGACGAGATATGAGCGGAGGAATTAAAAAGCTTGAGTTGATTAAAAATTTCGAGGCGAAATGTGGGATGTGAAAAAAGCTTAACTAGTTGAATAAAAATTTAAATTTAGACAAGCTGTAAAATATAGAAATACATAAGGAGGAAAATAAATAATAATAATTAAATAAATAGAGGCGAAATGTGGGATGTGAACAAAAGAAAAGAATAATTAATACTAATAATACATAGAAGAGATTTAAATAAATAATAAAAAAAATAATAAATAAAATATAAAATAAAAATAAATAATAAAATAATTTATAAATCATAGTTATACATAAAGCGGGAACTAAATGGCAATAAACTGAAATTTGTAAAATGAGCAGCATAACAGACATATATATGTATCTGACATCCAGTCCAAATCAAATTAACTGCCAACAATAATAAATAAACATTTTTGATTTGTTTTGTTTTGTTTTGTTTATTTCGCTGTGCGCTGCTCAACATTACGCATACGCAACGTTGCAGGCTCGCAGCAGTTGTTGCTGCTCGAACATGAATTCAGCCAACTTCAGCCGTTCAGCCATTTGGTTCGACTCGAACACGCTTCGAACAAGTTCGCTGCCAGCCGGCGTGCGCGCTCTCACTCTTATACGCTGCAGCACGGTTGGCCAGCGCCAAGCAGAGGCAATTGAAGACGACCGTTGCGTCGCTGCCTCGTTGGTCTGCAGTGGCTTTTGGCACTAAAATGTACGCGACTGCGACGCTTGGCGGTCATTCGTGTGTGCGACGCTGACGCAGACGCTCGTCTCGGTCTCTGTCGCGGTCTCAGTCTTAGTCGCAGTCGCAGTCGCCGATGCCGACGCTTTAGTCGTAGTCGTAGCCGTAGCCGTAGTCGCCGATAGGCGAAGTTTCTAAGCTCGTGACTCGCGTGTATTGCGGTTTTTTGTGCGGCGCGCTAATCAAGCATAATAAACGACTCAACGGTAAATGCAAGACAATTGCCAATAAACAGCAACAGCAACAACAGCAACAACAACAACAGCATTAGCAAGAAAGTCACAAACATTTGACCAATTGTCGCTCATTATAGTGCACTATCTCACTCTCACGCTCTTTGTGCCCGTGTGTTTATATTTCTATGATCAATCATAATTGTAACATGAAAACGTATAAAACAAATTTATAAAATTCAGTTTCAGCTTTTATCAAAATCCAATTTCGATTTACAGTTAAGCAGCGCACTTATCTTATCTCGCGGCACGTTGCGTATGCTTAATGTGTCTCAGCCCAAAAGAAAAATAACAATGAAAGCAACAAGATAAAACAGATATATGAACAGCTGTTCCAAATGAACTGAAACTAATTTTGTGATATATAAAATTATTCTAATTAAAAATTTGTGGCTCCATTAACTCGCCTATGACATCACTCGAAGTGACCCACATTATTTGAAGAGCAATTTCTCAAGTGTGTGAACCAATGGGCGTTGAGGAAATTAATTAAAAATAATAACGCATGCTCTCAATTAAGGCAGCGAACTTGAATATTCGGTTTGCTTATCGAATTCCCGGGAAATGCCAAATACTAGTCTAAAGTTTATCAGAGGTTCGAGATAAAAATGTTGAGGTGGAGTGCTCGAAGCAAGTAGAAGCAGGCTAAAATTCTTATACAAAAATTGAATCTTAAAATATATAAAAAGTAGAAACTCTACTATGATCTATAGAGTAATACTCTACTGTATATTCTGTATGCATCCATATATATTATATAGGTATAACACTATCATTATCATTATCAGTCAGAAAAGCTTTTGATGATATCATCATCTAATCTATCTCTTGTATAAATCATTATTATGCACTTGTAGCTCGAGCAGAGGCAAAACATTTCTTAAGAAAATGAAGACCCTTTAAGACTGTGAGAAATATGTTATAAAATATTTACTATGCCAAACAATAAAAGACTTTTTTAAAAAGGTAATCCATTAGAAATGATAAGCCATGGCTCAATTCTCTTATCAGCTGCTCTTGTAACAATTTGCTCAAATTGAATATTAGCCAATTTCGTTAACTGGTTCTCAACAGTTTTTATGAACCATATAATAATCAACTTTTTAACATAACAAAGAGAGCAACTTTTTTACTACGTAATGAAAGCACCTTTGATCCGGCTTATATAATTTACAATTAATATTTTAATAATTTATTAATTTAAAAAAAAAAAATAAGAAAAAATTAAAAACAAGAAAACTTATTGAAGGAACTAACAATTGTCGTTCCAGAATCTGTTATCTCTCTCTCTCTATCTCTCTATCTACCTCTTTCGCTAAATCTCTGCTTGCAGTTGCCATCTGTGCCCTAATATAACTGTAGATCTAGCGATAAAGTATAGATAAATGTAGTTAACCCAGATTGCAATATGAATAACTTTAATCAGACTGCATAGAGCAATTTAGATTTTTGATAAGCCAAGTGCATAGAAGACTTTGCCAGGGTCAGATAACTAGTTAAGAGTTATCTCAGAGTAGAGGGACTAACCGACTGACAGATAAAGTACAAAATTCCTTATCAGCAAACCGAATAGACTCATTTGAGCATTGCGGGCGAGTGTGGCCGATAATTAATTGGGAGCCACAAACGGAAGCTGGCAACAGCTCGGCCATCGCAGGAACTGTGGAACTGTAGTTCAGCTAGCTAATTAATTGCATTTGAATAAATAAAAGTGCCAAAGCGGATGGCGCGGAAAGACAACAATTGAAAAACAGATTTTCAATTGTTATACAAAAATAAAAATTGAAAAAAAAAAATAAGAACAAAGAGAAATAATTGAGTACTGAAGCTCGTGGCATGTGGCACGTGTTTGCGGCTCTCAATTAAATGTAATTAATCCAATCAATAATTTTTTGTTCATCCCGAAACAGTGAAAAAGCAAACGAATTTGCCAAATAACAAAAAACAACACGTCCGATAAATAATACAATATTATTATTATTATAATATAAATCAGTTAAAACAGAAGAAGAAGAATCAATAAACATGCGTCGCAACATCAAATTAATTGTCTTCGTCAGCATCATCTGGATGTTCGTGATGGTTTACTATTTCCAATCCAGCACGGAGAAGGTAAGTTGATAAAAATTATTTCTTATATACGTTAAATTCAACGTAACCCCCTACCCTCCCAATCCATCCTACCCATCACAGTGTGTAGTCTACTTCTTCTTCTTCTTCTTTAATTTCCTACCTCTTCCGGCCAATGCACGAGCATTGATCATCCAACAATATTTGAGCTCCGTTACGTCTATGCCAGTTGCATAGTAATTACTTGCCAGCTAAAATAACAGCCATCGCCCTCTCTCTCTCCCACTCACTCCCTCTCTCTTTTTCTCTCTTTGGTTGCCTCTTTAATGCTGACATATAATTAGCCTTACGTATAGGGGCAGGTAGCTGGTGCAGTAACGCCCCGTGACGCCCACAAAAGCTGCGTATCTCTATTTGCAGCTGACTTACCACTGCCGTATACCCTGTAAACGCACAGTTGTGCTAGAATGGATAAACTGAGGTGCTTTATCCATAAGTGCATATGTGTAAAATATAAAGAAAATATGTTTTTAGTATAAAATTATATCAGATTTAGTTTTAGGCCTTATATATACCCTGTAAAATGTTTATGCTGTTCATGTAAATTTAAAAAATATTATACATACATATATTCTGTACTCTGTAAATGCCTGATACCGTGGCTATATCTGAGCTATGTACTGGGTATTTGCCAGCTCATCGTCTACTCAGCTCTGATCCACTTTCAAGTGGCTTTTACTTTCATTTTTTCGCTCACTGTCTCTTCACTTTTAATTAGAGTCTCTGGTTTTTAGTGCTGACAGTTGTGGCAGTCAGTCAAATGTGGGCGGGAGCACGTGGCGAATGCGCAATTTCCCAGCTTATTCGGGTCAGCAGCGACCCCCACTCTAGCCCCAACTCTGGCTTAAGCACGTGTCGCACTCAAATCTGTTCCTTTATTCGCTCAAGTGCAAAGCTCGTTAACATTTATCGTTATCTTCCGCCTAATCGCTATCGGTATCGTCGCCGTTATCATTTATGGCAATAACTTTGTGCACTATATGCACATAGTTCACTCTATACAAACAGATGACAGTAGATAGATAAAATAGATAAAAAACCCATCTCTGGATGATGAATTTATGACCAAATCAAATGAAACAAAACTAACAACGAAAAAAAAAAAAAAAAAAAAACTGCTATCAACTGTTGCCTTCGATTATACATAAATCAGTAGCAGCGCAACTTTTATTGTCATCGATTAATATTATATAACGATTCATATTTCCATGGGCCAGCGACTGAGCTGCACAGATAAATCTGGCCCTCATAGAAAGTCAACGCAAATAAATGAAATTGGCCAGCAAGATTTATTTTTGCACTTTTTTCTGCAACTAAAAATGTTCATAAATTGTAATTTTGAAAAAGAAAAATATAAAACATAAATAACAATATATAATGATGCTAATTGAATATTTAGAATTTAATCCAAAAATAAATAAAATAGTATTCTTTCCTTTTTAATATATTTTATTATTTTAAACATCTGTTTATTGATATTTTCATTTTTAAATAATTTCAAAAGAATATTTCCAACTGAGTTATTTTTTTTTTAATGTTTTTTTTTTTTTTTTGCCATATGCCACTCTCAAAGCTAACGATGCGTTATCTAAACCTCTCAGATTACGGCACTTAAAAATTCACACTTCATAAATCAATACAAAACAAAAATTGTTTAAAAAAATTGCTTTGTTTTATTGGCAAATAAAATGGAAAGCAACAACAAATCAAAAGTGAAAAAAACGCTCAATTAAATCCGAAATGGCTTATCAAGAATGTTTGCGGATTAAAACGGGAACAAGAAGATAAATGTACAAATAAATAAAAGCGAAGGAAATTACTCGCCATCCTCCACAACAGCAGAAAGAGAAAGAGAGAGCGAGGGAGAGAGAGAGCGAAAAGGCAAACAGGAAATTCAGTTTAAAAATAAAAAATAAAAAAACTTTGAACTTCGTTGGAATTCAGTTGCTGCGGGTCTGGCTTGAGGTCAGCCTGAAAGCCGGCCAGCTTTGACTGGCTTTAGGCAACTATATAGGTATTTATGTGTGATATACGAACACACGTATAATGTATAGCTATATGCATACACACATATTTGCTGTAATCGGATTTATTTGACACTCTCCGTTCAGCATTTCATTATTTCATAGCGAAGATCAAAAGTATAATTAAGAGCGTTTTATTGAATTACTTTTCACACTCATTATACATATATGTGCTGCGATGCATGCGTGTGTGTGCATATGTGCCTGTGTGGGCGCCCACAAAATGGCGTCCGAAAGGCTTTTTACTGTAATTTACAGTTTGATGCGCAGTTTAATAACTTTTTATGTGGAAGTGCACAAGAAGGAAAAAATGAAATTGTTATGTGGCATACTCTGTAAATAAAGAGGGGTATACTAGACTAGAAGTGCTCACAATGTTTGTTAGCCCATTTTAAATAGATTCATTGTGCCTCTTGCAATCCTTGTCTCCCCTATTAATTCCATCTCTGTCTTTATTTGGTTTCTTTTGATTCTGACTTCGTCTGTCTCTGACGCTCTTGAAATCTGTGTCTTTCGTTATATCTTTCCCTATTCTCCTCTAGCCTACAGTCTTCCTCTGAACTGCTATCTTTCTCACCTCTCATTTATCACCTCTCTCTCTCGCTCTCTCACCCTCTCTCCCTCTCTATCAAATTGGATATTTTATACTCAGAATATATATTTTTGCAGAGTATTAACACCTTTGCTTCTCCAGTTCATAAAATTTCCTAATTTTTTTGCTGATGTTCGTTCATTTGTGCACGTTTGCCACATATCAAATGCAACTATTACCCCGACTCCATTTAACTGCGATTACAGCGTGAAATTTGAAAGGGTTTTTGCGGGCCTCAAACATTCATAAATTTATAAAGCTGTGAAAGTAAAATATTTATTATTTTCCCAGCACAAAAAAAATAAAAAACTAAATTGCATTCAGTTCGTTTATATATTTTATTTTATAGTTACTTTTGAGTTGATACTGTCTATTTATCTATTTTTTCTGAAACAAGGTTTCGTGCCTCCGGATATATAAATAATTCATACCATTTGGCTATAGCTACAAGCATATGCAGCAAATATTATTAATTGCATTTTATGGCAATTAAGTGAGGATTTATGATAGATAGATGGAGTTCTTTTTTTTTATGTAAACACTTAATAAATATTTATAAATACTTTATAAAATTAAATGTTAAAATATCATTTTAAATTTGACATTTAATTAATTACAGTTCATTGACGTAGAGCATTTTGAGGTCTTGCAGAGTCTTGCTTGATAGCCTGGGAGTACACACATAATTAATCTCCAATTAAAATGAAGAAATTTTATAGCTGATTAACTGTTAAAAGAAAGATGAGAAAAATTAAAATAGAAATAAATAAATAAAATGATAAGTAATATATAAATAATTAAATGAATATATAAATACATAAGTAAAAATAAATTTAAAAAATATATAAAAAATTCCACAGTTTAATCAATAAATCTAATTTTTTTTTTTTTTATTTATTATTGCATTTTTAACAGGAATTTTTTTATAACATTTGTATTACTTTGTCTAAAAATTCTGATGTGGAGCTGCAAAATCATTTTTTTATTTTGTCCATCGCGTGAAAAGCATTTAAGAACATCTCAGCTAAGATTTCGCACTAATTCTAATAGATAATATATATAATTAATGAAACTATTTTAAAGATTTATTAATGAGCTTGAACAAACCTAAATCAAGCCGTAGCAAAGCTTGCTCTATATCTCAGTTAAATTTATTTGCCAAAATCAATTTAAACAAGGGTTTCAGACGAATTCTCGTTCAGCTCAGCTCAACGCCCTGAGCTAGCCCACATGTCAAATCTATGTCAGATATGCGAACATGATAGCATAGCTTGGCCATTTGGAAAGCGATTCGAGAGCCTCAACATTGCTTCAAAAATGTGTTAATTGAGCTCTAATCGAATTTCGTATGAAGCAAATTGCATATGCACAGCAGGCCGTCCCGAATTGATGTAATAATTGATTTGATTAAACCGAAATAACTTATTAATTATTGTGCAATCGGACGTCCAGCTATGCAAATAATAATAATAATTATAATCTCACATGTCGAGAGCAGAAACATCGAAACTATTTCCTGCTTGACTCATTTCCATTTGGCTTTCGTCTGCTCATCGGAGATGCAAATTCTTGACAACCATTTCCCAAATTGGGTTCAGCTGATGGAACCAGTTTTTGTTTATACGAATATGTTTTTTATGCCTCTGTATTCAAAATTTCAAGTTCAAATTTAAAAAGCTTTAGAAAACACTGGAAACAAAAACTTTACGCCTCAACGATTCGATTTATGGTCAAAGTAGCATTTCAACCTAATGAAATGGGAGGAGAGGGCAGTTCCAGCAGTTGGCCGGCTGGGCGGCTGGGAGGTGCTGCCATTGTAGAACCTCAAATAAAATATCATTTGCAAAAGTCGAGCTTGGCATTGCGTGACAGCGCACAAGTTACGCTCTGTTTGATGTCCAAATGACAATAAAAACACACACGAGCAAAGCGAATGCCGAATGCCACAAAAGCTGCAATTGCAACATTTCACAATGGTATGAAGAGAAAAGTATCTCTTAAGACTATAATAAAGACATCCAACTGTTTGATAAGCCAATTGAGTATGTTGTTCACTGTCTATAGCTCATTTTTATGACCTCTCATGGTTTTTAGTAGAGCTTATCAGAAGTTAAAAGGTCAAAGCGTATAATCTGATGATACCTTAACGAAGTTTCTTTGAAGTGCTCAATGGACGCAATATTTATCTATTAATATGATCCTTATCTAATTAACTGCCAAGTTTCTTTGTCAACTTATACATAAAGTCCATATTGCAAGACTCTAGAAATACCAGCTATAGTATTTTGCGTTTTGATAGTATATGTTATGGATAGTATATGTTCAATATTTGAGATCTTTAACTGTTCTTCTGATTGCCAAAAATT